TACAATCAAGGTTTTCGTGGGGGAGGGAGCAGCGGTCAGCGCAGCGGTCATTCTGGATCTGGTGATCAATCCATCAGTAACTCGGAAGAATGCTTCGCTATCATGCCGGGATCTCATGTAATAGTAAAAACGTTTGATAGGGTAATTTTGACTTGCTACGGTTCCTCCGAGATCTTAAGGCATTTCCATTGCTGCTACGATTAGTTGAGCTAATAAAACAATCTACCGATTTTACGAGAGTTCAGCACAGAATGCCTAGACCACGTTCCCTTGAATCCGGGCCCGAATCGTTAGGGAAGAATAACTAATCCAGTTCACAATAATTTCCCAGCGGGTGCCCTGAGGCTGTCGGGTCCCAGTAATTCACGGGAAGTCAATCCAAGCCTCGGCTTCCGAATTTTTTCATAACTTTGCGCCGAGTCATGCGGGGGTAGAGACCTCCCAAGAACTATCTAAGGTCTAATGTAATAGTTTGTCTGGCCGTCCCTCAAACTTTTCGCGAAAAGCTGTGCACTGAAAACAGCATCGTGATGGTGACAACATAAAAGCCAGTGCAACCTCCCTCCCCACTCCTGAATTTTCCCATCTTTCACGACCATGAATCAGGAAAAACCGCGAAAACTTTACAATCGGAAGTACTTTCCCTTAACCGCAAAGGCAAATACGACCCCCTCGGCTCTTTGGCGTTCACGACAAGAAAAATCAATTGCCAAAACAAATTCTTCTTGGACCAAATACAACCTTCCCTCTTCCCAGCGACCAGATATGACCAACCCCTTTTGGGGGATCTCTAAAGATGATGTGCCCTGCCGGCAACTTAGTAATGAAACGGGAAAAAAACGAGAACAGTTAACCACCAGAAAAAGGTTTTTGGCGGCTGCGAAGAATTTTCTGATGAGTGCGGCCTTCCTCGTGATGGAACTCTCCCAAAGATGCCGTACCCTGTAAGTTTAATGCCACTAGGAGTGCCCAATGGTGTTCTGGTTCCATTTTTTAAATAATGGGAACAGCTGATTTTTGGTAACTTGTTCCTGTCTAGTGGTTCAAGACTTCCAGTAATGGGTTGAGGTGCATACATTCACTCAGTTCATCACGCTATGTTGACTGCCGGAACCAGTTCCTTTAGTATTTGGTTGGCTATTTGAAATTCCCTTTTATTGCTTTGGAAACATTCTCCAAGCATCGTCGTCTATTTAGCAGGACACAATCCTCACCCCCAAGCAGAAAAAAATCATAAAAATTGGATCGATAATAACGATTTTTGGCTTGTTCCAGGTATTTTTTTTCTTGGTTAGACCAAGGTCGAATCACTGCTTGTATTATTAGGTACTCGTGCATGTAGGCATGAGTAGTTTCCTCTCGAATAAGAGTTTTTCCACCAACTTCCAGGATTCCACTACAACGCAACTTCTCCGCGCAATCTCATCTCACCGCAATGACATCCAGAGTCAGCAAATTTTTCTTGCTTGCAATGCGAACCAGGACGTTTCAGTTCGTAATCGGCTCCGTCAGAGGGAATTTCGATTTTCGTGTTTTTCCACAAATGTGCTAGTTTCCGTTATTTTCACCACAGAGGTGTTCGGTGACAAAAGGGCGATGAGATGTTCTACGGGAAGACTACTTACTGAGTACCTTCAAAGCCAGTTACAAAGCGTACCGTCAGGAGATGTATTATATTTGGGAATACTGTTCATTACCCACGCTGCTCGGCGATCGCTTGGCACTTCTGTTGGATGATCAGAGTCCGCAAGAATTTGGTGCTATCTACTCAATCAGCTGACAATGGCCAAATTGCCTACCAGAAAAAAAACAAAATTCGCAGTCTATTCATCAATCAAACGACTTCTTTTAGTAATCACTCTTCGTCATCACTGACACAACCCTATTTTCATGGACAATATTAAATTTGAATGTGTCGACAAAAGTCTTGTCAATTTTTAATAGGATTTCCTTTGAAGGCTTTAATAAATAATGCTGTGATGTACAACGTCCAATTAACGGCGGGTGCCATCCTCGAAGAATACTCCACCGTCGATCGCACAGTACTTGGGACAGATACCCTTTTCTCCTGCTTGTCCATCTTGGCCGGGATGACCAGGTTGTCCAGGCTCTCCATCTTGACCAGGTGCTCCTGGCTCTCCATCGGGTCCTTTCGGTCCAGGCTCTCCTGGTGCTCCATCGATTCCATTGCTTCCTGGAGGTCCGGGTGGTCCTTGTGGTCCTGGGGTTCCAGGAGTTCCAGGTGGCCCGGGAACAACGGGTTCCGACTTGGCAGGCTCTCCTGAAAGTATATTATTTGGCATGGGATAATAGAGTGTAAGAGAAAAGTATGGAGAAGCAAGCAGTTGGTGATCTTCACAGCACCAGTGCAAAGTTTACAAAATAGTGTAACCAACTGACCAGGTTCTCCAGGTGCTCCAGGATTTCCGGGAGGTCCAGGAGGTCCAGGTGGCCCTTTGGGTCCAGGCTCGCCAGCAGGTGCATCTTGTCCCTTCTGTCCAGGTTCACCAGGTACTCCGTTGTCTCCAGGAGGTCCAGGAGGTCCAGGTGGTCCGGGAGGACCCTGCGGGCACTCCGGACATGGTGGTGGTGTCACAGGCTCACAAGGTGCCTGAGGTGGTCGGCCAGGATTTCCTGGCATACCTGGAGCTCCAGGCTTTCCTGGCTTGCCAGGCTTTCCAGGAGATCCAACAGGACCCATTGGCCCTGGTAGACAACATCCACTGCACTGATCGCTGTAACTGCTCCTAGTTGTCCTATTAGCTGCTACAGGCAGATCTTTGATGGAATATACACTGGACCAAACATCCTTTGCAGATCCCTGAATGAATAATGTTCAGAAAGGAATAAAATGTGTATAGGAACCAACGTCATGTCTACCGTACCTTGCACATGGTGAGTTCGGAGTGTAATTGTGAACGGACATGATGGACATAGTTGTAGACCATTGGAAGGGTGATACACACGGACAGGACGGCGACGGCCGAAAATGTGACGGCTGCATAGCCCACAAAGCGATAGGCCTTGATCTTCGAGTCGATATCCATGCTTGACCGACTCTTACAATCGTTTTCTTGGCTTTTATAGTCGTCGGTCTTTTGCCCCGCCTATCCAAGCACTTTTTTCTCTTCATCGGATCGAGATCCGAAAATCGCAATCGCCGCCACACCATCCCTACCTCTAGTGTTCGCGTCAGCTCGGCCGGTGAAAGACCTTGGGGGCGCTGTCGGCTATTGGGATTGCCCAGCACCCAATGGGGAAGATTATTAGACAACTGTTGAAGAGAGGAATTTTCTGGTTGCGGTCCGATCCTCAGAGTTTCCCGTGGGCACTTAGCAAACAGCCAATGACAAAATAATCAAGGTCTTCTGCAAAATTCGTAAAAAAAGACTCCATTGTCCCTTGAAGTGCCGCCGTTGAATGGGATTATTGAGGAGATTATTACTCGAAAATTCATTTTACTAGTTATTCGCAATCCTAGTCGCTGAGAGATGTTCCAGCGATAAAGGTAGGCATTCCTATCGATAAGAACTTGTCGCTGCTTATCCTTAGCAGATTTCGATTTTCCCGCCGAAAAATCTGGATCTGACTGATGGAATGCAGAAAATTTCGTGGATGAACACCACTGAGTCGCCAGGGTTTTGGCAGCTGGGGAATATATCCATATTTTGACAATTTCTTCAGAGAAATTCCTTCAGCAAAGCAGATAATCGCTCTAATAACGATATCATTTTATTTTATTTTATTTTATTTGCGGCCATTACCGCACTACAACAAAAACAGTCAGTTAATCAAAACAAACACAGCATTTGTAGAAACAAGGAAATAGTGAAAAAAAGGGAAAAATAGAGGGAGGCACAGAATAACCACTTTAAACTAAGTGAACTCAAAACACTAACCACTAACAGAGAAAAGACAGCGAACTTGGATGACTGTTTAAAATGAAATAGTAGTACGCATTGCTGTTCTGGAAATGACGCAATAAGAAAGAGACCTCCTTAGCAGGACTCCGACCTGACTAATAAATAGGACAATATGCGTTTATGAGTGTTATGATGCCCGGCCGAAGTCAGCAGTAGCACAGACCTGCACCAGCCGGCCATGGTGCCCGATCGCCACGTTTGGGGTCATAGGGGCTTACCGTAACTTCGAAACACGGGTATGCCGACGACCCTCGTGGAAACGGTAGGCTAGGAAAGTGCCACTCCGGACAGGGTGTGTGCACCAGTACTCATAAACAGAAAAAAAGAAAGAAGTCCCTGGCAAGGACTTAGATAAAACAGTCATGGTCAGTGAACTACCAAATAGTGGATGCTTTAACAGCCAATGCGGAACCACTTATCATACAGTGTACAAATCATATATCATTTCAATCATTTTAGGTTGTGATTATCAGTGTTGCTGGAGCATTCCGCAAAGGAAAAAGTTTCCTGCTCAATTTCTTTCTCGAATACTTGTACTGCTTACAAAAATCTCAACAGGTATGTTTCTGAACATCATCGAAGAGTTACTAATCGTTAATCAATCCCGCGCCTTTATTAGCACCCTTATTACATGCATTTTTTCTTCAGCATCTTTCACCTTTCTTCTTTTCTGCCTCATTTTCCCCTTTTCCTTTGTGGACCCTCCTGCCTGATTCACAAATTTTCGGCACAAAACGTCAGATGGTAAAAATGGTCAGGACTGATGAATTCTCGATATCTGGGTTGTTGCGCCACGCATCCCACTTCCATCAGAAATCTCAAGTCGTAGAGACCACCACTTGTAGGTACCAGCAATATTCAGGTGGAGCCCCTCATATCTCACATGGCTGGCTTGAGGGGCTCGAATCAGCTTCACTATAAGTAATTATCTAGATCATACCAGTGCAGTACCGATCCTTGATAGATGACGAGACCATTCGATGATTACTTAGATGACTACTTACCGAAACGTGGCCGTTTCCTGTTTTGGATATGTGAACCACTGGGGCCTCTCCGTGACCTCAAGCTCTATGCACCTGAGCATTGTTACTCTGGAACAATGTGGTCTTTCTGTAGTTAAAATCTGTGAAACCAATGCTATAACGTCTCCAACTTCAAGGGAAGGTCCGTCTCCCTTCAGATAATAGTGGTTTTACCGTACCTCAACCCGAGGCGGAGTGGTGCAGAGGCTAGTGGTGCCTCTTGTTACGTGCCCGGCCTGGGTTCAAATCCTGGATCGGCTCCCGCCCAAGACAACCAGGGCTTTCAAACTCGTTGGGAGGATACCAGCACTCACCCTCAGGTCGGCTGACCCCCAACGCTCACTGTATAGGACAGATGGCATAGGAAAGCTATACACCTGCATTAGGTAGTAGCAGATCCTCAGAGGAGTTAAACCATGACTCACAATCAGAACAAACTCATTGCGAAACAAACCTGACGTCATCCCTCCCGAATGCTTCAAATGCTTGGCTTGTGGACGATATAAGCATATCCACATCACTGCACAGTCCCCCTCCCTTGTGCAAAAAGGCCCAGTTCGCGGACTTTATCCTTTCGTGACTTGAAGGTGAGTTGCAAGGTACTGAAGCTTAACCTCACAGGCGTGACCCATCAGCACCGGCTATAGCAAAGGTGGACAGCGCTCGCTCATGTCTTCATAGACCCGTCATAGATGTCTGAA